AAACACGAACAACTTTGGTGTTTATGACGTCGATATTCGACGTCATAGACACGAACAACTTTGGTGTTTATGACGTCGATATTCGACGTCATAAACACGAACAACTTTGGTGTTTATGACGTCGATATTCGACGTCATAAACACGAACAACTTTGGTGTTTATGTCGACGTCATGAACACGAACTACTTTAGTGTTTATGACGTCGTTTTTCGACGTCATAAACACGAACAACTTTCGTGTTTATGACGTCGATATTCGACGTCATAAACACGAACAACTTTGGTGTTTATGACGTCGATATTCGACGTCATAAACACGAACAACTTTAGTTTTATGACGTCGATATTCGACGTCATAAACACGAACAACTTTGGTGTTTATGACGTCGATATTCGACGTCATAAACACGAACAACTTTGGTGTTTATGACGTCGATATTCGACGTCATAAACACGAACAACTTTGGTGTTTATGACGTCGTTATTCGACGTCATAAACACGAACAACTTTGGTGTTTATGACGTCGATATTCGACGTCATAAACACGAACAACTTTGGTGTTTATGACGTCGATATTCGACGTCATAAACACGAACAACTTTGGTGTTTATGACGTCGATATTCGACGTCATAAACACGAACAACTTTGGTGTTTATGACGTCGATATTCGACGTCATAAACACGAACAACTTTGGTGTTTATGACGTCGATATTCGACGTCATAAACACGAACAACTTTGGTGTTTATGACGTCGATATTCGACGTCATAAACACGCTCAACTTTGGTGTTTATGACGTCGATATTCGTTGTCATAAACACGATCAACTTTGGTGTTTATGGCGTCGATATTCGACGTCATAAACACGATAAACTTAGATGTTTATGACGTCGATATTGGACGTCATAAACACGATCAACTTTGGTGTTTATGACGTCGATATTCGACGTCATAAACACGGTCAACTTTGGTGTTTATGGCGTCGATATTCGACGTCATAAACACGATCAACTTTGGTGTTTATGACGTCGATATTCGACGTCATAAACACGATCAACTTTGGTGTTTATGACGTCGATATTCGACGTCATAAACACGATCAACTTTGGTGTTTATGACGTCGATATTCGACGTCATAAACACGACCAACTTTGGTGTTTATGACGTCGATATTCGACGTCATAAACACGATCAACTTTGGTGTTTATGACGTCGATATTCGACGTCATAAACACGATCAACTTTGGTGTTTATGACGTCGATATTCGACGTCATAACACGATCAACTTTGGTGTTTATGGCGTCGGTATTCGACGTCATAAACACGATCAACTATAGTGTTGATGACGTCGATGTTCGACGTCATAAACACGATCAACTTAGATATTTATGACGTTGATATTCGACGTCATAAACACGATCAACTTATATTTTTATGACGTTGATATTCGTTGTCATAAACAGAATCAACTTAGATATTTATGACGTTGATATTCAACGTCATAAACACGATCAACTTAGATGCTTATGACGTCGATATTCGACGTCATCAACACGATCAACTTTGGTGTTTATGACGTTGATATTCGACGTCATAAACACGATCAACTTTGATGTTTATGACGTCAATATTCGAAGTCATAAACACGATCAATTTTGGTGTTTATGACGTCGATATTCGACGTCATAAACACGATCAACTTTGGTGTTTATGACGTCGATATTCGACGTTATAAACACGATCAACTTTGGTGTTTATGACGTCGATATTCGACGTCATAAACACGATCAACTTTGGTGTTTATGACGTCGATATTCGACGTCATAAACACGATCAACTTTGGTGTTTATGACGTCGATATTCGACGTCATAAACACGATCAACGTTGGTGTTTATGACGTCGATATTCGACGTCATAAACACGATCAACTTTGGTGTTTATGACGTCGATATTCGACGTCATAAACACGATCAACTTTGGTGTTTATGACGTCGATATTCGACGTCATAAACACGATCAACTTTGGTGTTTATGACGTCGATATTCGACGCCATAAACACGATCAAATTTGGTGTTTATGACGTCGATATTTGACGTCATAAACACGATCAACTTTGGTGTTTATGACGTCGATATTCGACGTCATAAAAACGATCAACTTTGGTGTTTATGACGTCGATATTCGACGTCATAAACACGAACAACTTTGGTGTTTATGACGTCGATATTCGACGTCATAAACACGAACAACTTTGGTGTTTATGACGTCGATATTCGACGTCATAAACACGAACAAATTTGGTGTTTATGACGTCGATATTCGACCTCATCAACACCAACAAATTTGGTGTTTATGACGTCGATATTCGACGTCATAAACACGAACAAATTTGGTGTTTATGACGTCGATATTCGACGTCATAAACACGAACAAATTTGGTGTTTATGACGTCGATATTCGACGTCATAAACACGAACGAATTTGGTGTTTATGACGTCGATATTCGACGTCATAAACACCAACAAATTTGGTTTTTATGACGTCGATATTCGACGTCATAAACACGAACGAATTTGGTGTTTATGACGTCGATATTCGACGTCATAAACACGAACAACTTTGGTGTTTATGACGTCGATATTCGACGTCATAAACACGAAAAAATTTGGTGTTTATGACGTCGATATTCGACGTCATAAACACGAACGAATTTGGTGTTTATGACGTCGATATTCGTCGTCATAAACACGAAAGAATTTGGTGTTTATGTCGTCGATATTCGACGTCATAAACACCAACAAATTTGGTGTTTATGACGTCGATATTCGACGTCATAAACACGAACGAATTTGGTGTTTATGACGTCGATATTCGACGTCATAAACACGAACAACTTTGGTGTTTATGACGTCGATATTCGACGTCATAAACACGAACAAATTTGGTGTTTATGACGTCGATATTCGACGTCATAAACACGATCAACTTTGGTGTTTATGACGTCGATATTCGACGTCATAAACACGAACAAGTTTGGTGTTTATGACGTCGATATTCGACGTCATAAACATGATCAACTTTGGTGTTTATGACGTCGATATTCGACGTCATAAACACGAACAACTTTGGTGTTTATGACGTCGATATTCGACATCATAAACACGAACAACTTTGGTGTTTATGACGTCGATATTCGACGTCATAAACACGAACAACTTTGGTGTTTATGACGTCGATATTCGACGTCATAAACACGAACAAATTTGGTGTTTATGACGTCGATATTCGACGTCATAAACACGAACGAATTTGGTGTTTATGACGTCGATATTCGTCGTCATAAACACGAAAGAATTTGGTGTTTATGTCGTCGATATTCGACGTCATAAACACAAAACAAATTTGGTGTTTATGACGTCGATATTCGACGTCATAAACACGAACGAATTTGGTGTTTATGACGTCGATATTCGACGTCATAAACACGAACAACTTTGGTGTTTATGACGTCGATATTCGACGTCATAAACACGAACAAATTTGGTGTTTATGACGTCGATATTCGACCTCATCAACACCAACAAATTTGGTGTTTATGACGTCGATATTCGACGTCATAAACACGAACAAATTTGGTGTTTATGACGTCGATATTCGACGTCATAAACACGAACAAATTTGGTGTTTATGACGTCGATATTCGACGTCATAAACACGAACGAATTTGGTGTTTATGACGTCGAATATCGACGTCATAAACACGAACAACTTTGGTGTTTATGACGTCGATATTTGACGTCATAAACACGAACAACTTTGGTGTTTATGACGTCCATATTCGACGTCATAAACACGAACAAATTTGGTGTTTATGACGTCGATATTCGACGTCATAAACACCAACAAATTTGGTTTTTATGACGTCGATATTCGACGTCATAAACACTAACGAATTTGGTGTTTATGACGTCGAATATCGACGTCATAAACACGAACAACTTTGGTGTTTATGACGTCGATATTCGACGTCATAAACACGAACAACTTTGGTGTTTATGACGTCCATATTCGACGTCATAAACACGAACAAATTTGGTGTTTATGACGTCGATATTCGACGTCATAAACACGAACGAATTTGGTGTTTATGACGTCGATATTCGACCTCATCAACACCAACAAATTTGGTGTTTATGACGTCGATATTCGACGTCATAAACACGAACAAATTTGGTGTTTATGACGTCGATATTCGACGTCATAAACACGAACAAATTTGGTGTTTATGACGTCGATATTCGACGTCATAAACACGAACAACTTTGGTGTTTATGACGTCCATATTCGACGTCATAAACACGAACAACTTTGGTGTTTATGACGTCGATATTCGACGTCATAAACACGAACAAATTTGGTGTTTATGACGTCGATATTCGACCTCATCAACACCAACAAATTTGGTGTTTATGACGTCGATATTCGACGTCATAAACACGAACAAATTTGGTGTTTATGACGTCGATATTCGACGTCATAAACACGAACAAATTTGGTGTTTATGACGTCGATATTCGACGTCATAAACACGAACGAATTTGGTGTTTATGACCTCGATATTCGACGTCATAAACACCAACAAATTTGGTGTTTATGACCTCGATATTCGACGTCATAAACACCAACAAATTTGGTGTTTATGACGTCGATATTCGACGTCATAAACACGATCAAATTTGGTGTTTATGACGTAGATATTCGACGTCATAAACACGAACGAATTTGGTGTTTATGACGTCGATATTCGACGTCATAAACACGAACAAATTTGGTGTTTATGACGTCGAAATATCGACGTCATAAACCCGAACGAATTTCGTGTTTATGACGTCGATATTCGACGTCATAAACACCAACAAATTTGGTGTTTATGACGTCGATATTCGACGTCATAAACACGAACGAATTTGGTGTTTATGACGTCGATATTCGACGTCATAAACACGAACAAATTTGGTGTTTATGACGTCGAAATATCGACGTCATAAACCCGAACGAATTTCGTGTTTATGACGTCGATATTCGACGTCATAAACACCAACAAATTTGGTGTTTATGACGTCGATATTCGACGTCATAAACACGAACAAATTTGGTGTTTATGACGTCGATATTCGACGTCATAAACACGAACGAATTTGGTGTTTATGACCTCGATATTCGACGTCATAAACACCAACAAATTTGGTGTTTATGACGTCGATATTCGACATCATAAACACGAACGAATTTGGTGTTTATGACGTCGATATTCGACGGCAAATTAATTTGCATAATCGATGACGTATTTTTCCGAAGGTTCTCCGATGATGATAAAACAACGAGGGCTTTCCGATTATTAATTTGCATAATCGATGACGTATTTTCCGGAGGTTCTCCGATGATGATAAAACAACGAGGGCTTTCCGATTATTAATTTGCATAATCGATGACGTATTTTCCGGAGGTTCTCCGATGATAAAACAACGAGAGCTTTCCGATTAGTCGCCATTTTGTTTCAAGATGGCGGAAGGGTTAATAATGGCGGTTTTAAGGGAAAATAACATTGAATTGAGTGTGAATACTTTTCGTTTCCATTTAAAATTGCTTTTGGAAAAGCATGGGGGTTTATTTGAAAGCATGATAGCTCGTATTGGACGAGAAAACGTACTTGAAAATTTGTGTGTAATCTATCAGGAATTAGACCCTTCAAATTTTGGTCGAATTATGGCTTACTTGACTTTAGTTTACAAAGTCAGTGATTTTTGTGAGCCTGAAATTGTGCAAGAAGCCGTAGAAATCTGTGTATGGGAATTAAAACAGGTGGACATAGCTAGCTTTGAAATAAAACAATCTTGGATACAACGTTTAATTGCGTGGTTACGCGACTACTAACCTGGCGAAATTTGAATATCACTAATCCGGGTTGAATAGCAAAAGTCATTAACTGTTGTACATGGGTGAACACATTGTACTTTACGACATTAGGGAGGTTAAGATACCCCGGTTTACGGGTACGAGTGATATACACGTACCCGTAAATCGAGGAACGACTTGTCACTTAAGAAATCCAGGATATTCCGGCGCGAGAATCAGAAAATGGCAACTTTCGATGTTGAGGTTCTTCATTGATTGTTGAAAACTTTGACAAGTATATGTGCAGTATTTAATTGGGTAAGATATTGAAAATTTGTACTATTTGAACGGCCCACAAATAGTAAACAGAAAACACCCGTACCCGTTTGTCTTTACGTGTAGACAACGGTTTACCGCGGGGAAACGGCTTGAAATTACGGGTAAAAATGCTGACATCAGCAAAAATTGGTAAACAAAATGGCGATACTCGTACCCGTAAACCGGAACCGTGGTATCTTAACCTGTCTATTGCCCGGACATAAGTATCATTGCCATAATTCACAGCAATGGAGTTTTTGCATGGATTGACAGCGTCCACGGTTTCTATAAAAAATGGGAAATTTTGGCTTTGCAACAAGAATAACCCCAGCAGTTGTGAATTGATCCACAAGAAGCGCTAGAAGCAGCTGTTGATAAGAGAAGGTTTCTTATAAGAAGGCTTTTAAAGCGTTACACTTTGGCCCGTCTGCTCATGAGCGAATGCTCATCTGCTCATAAGGCCCGTTTAACCCGAACTACTGTGTCTGGTACAATTTTGTGCGATGAGCAGATGAGCATGTGCTCATAACTGCTCATGAGCACATGCTCATCTGCTCATGAGGCCCGTTTAGGCCCAATGGCTCGAAGTGCATTCTTCGTTCGTGGAAGCCCGGACACTACAGCAGGAAAATTGCTTAGTTTATGTACACAAATGTATAATTTTTCGTATTCGCATGTTTTTGCCATTTTGATTTCTATCCCACCAACCCATGTAAAAATGACAAGAAAAGACAGGTATAATTGAAGAGCAATTTATTTTAATGACTCGAAGTTACATGCTGTGTCTATACTGGTATTGTTTTACATGCTAATACTGTTCGAGTACAAGACTTCAATCCAATGTTCGACCTATCAGTCGAGTCTAATCATCATTGCATGTCATCATCATTCTCTTCATCAGAATCGTAACCCTTTAAAAGCCTTCTTATAAGAAACATTTAACTCCGAACTACTACGCACAGATATTGCCAGATTTTTAAAATCATGTCGGGTACAATTTTGTGCGATGAGCACATGCTCATAACTGCTCATGAGCACATGCTCATGCTCATAACTGCTCATGAGCACATGCTCATCTGCTCATAACTGCTCATGAGCACATGCTCATCTGCTCATAACTGCTCATGAGCACATGCTCATCTGCTCATAAAACTGCAGTGCTGCTCAATAACAAGGCATTTCTACACAGTCAGTGCTAACGGAATGAGCTGCAAATTTTGCAGAAAGCAATTTAGCCGTGGTTACAATTTACGAAGACACGAAAAGGAATACTGCCCCCTACGTGCACAAGAACGAAACATGTCTCAAACAGACTCGGATAGCCAGGAAAGGGATTTCCAAGACAATGTCTCAACAACTTCAACTGATGTGTCTGAAATTTCGATGAGGACTGATAATGAGTCAGAAACTGAAGAGGAAATGGACCCTTGGATACCGTTGATAGAAGAAGCAAAACAAAGAAGAAATATAGCTTTAGAGGAAATGAAAGAAAGCCTTATAAACACTGGTTTAGATGAGCAATCCGCTAAGGACAAAGCTTTCTCTAATATGCTGCCGAAACTCCAGAAGGAACTGGAAAATATTTATATGGAGCGTCTCGTGTGGATGAAACAACTAAAGAAAGATCCAGTACATAAGAAGATAATGCACACAAAAGATGCGCTTGTGGAAAACGATGATTTTGATCCACAAGAAGCGCTAGAAGCAGCTGTTGATAAGAGAAAGTTTCTTATAAGAAGGCTTTTAAAGCGTTACGATTTTGATGAAGAGAATGATGATGACATGCAATGATGATTAGACTCTCGACTGATAGGTCGAATATAGGATTGAAGTCTTGTATTCGAACAGTATTAGCATCTAAAACAATACCAGTATAGACACAGCTTGCATGTAAATTCGAGACATTAAAATAAATTGCTTTTCAATTATACCTGTCTTTCTTGTTATTTTTATGTAGAAATGCCTTGTTATTGAGCAGCACTGCAGTTTTATGAGCAGATGAGCATGTGCTCATGAGCAGTTATGAGCAGATGAACATGTGCTCATGAGCAGTTATGAGCATGAGCATGTGCTCATGAGCAGTTATGAGCATGTGCTCATCGCACAAAATTGTACCCGACATGATTTTAAAAATCTGGCAATATCTGTGCGTAGTAGTTCGGAGTTAAATGTTTCTTATAAGAAGGCTTTTAAAGGGTTACGATTCTGATGAAGAGAATGATGATGACATGCAATGATGATTAGACTCGACTGATAGGTCGAATATTGGATTGAAGTCTTGTACTCGAACAGTATTAGCATGTAAAACAATACCAGTATAGACACAGCATGTAACTTCGAGTCATTAAAATAAATTGCTCTTCAATTATACCTGTCTTTTCTTGTCATTTTTACATGGGTTGGTCGGATAGAAATCAAAATGGCAAAAACATGCGAATACGAAAAATTATACATTTGTGTACATAAACTAAGCAATTTTTCTGCTGTGGTGTCTGGGCTTCCACGAACGAAGAATGCACTTCGGGCCATTGGGCCTAAACGGGCCTCATGAGCAGATGAGCATGTGCTCATGAGCAGTTATGAGCACATGCTCATTTGCTCATCGCACAAAATTGTACCAGACACAGTAGTTCGGGTTAAACGGGCCTTATGAGCAGATGAGCATTCGCTCATGAGCAGTCTCAAAATTTTGTGAAAAACTCATTTTCAAAGGTTTAGACTTAGTCGTTGATACGATTCAGTTATTAATGGTATTACACTCCGGTTTCAACTTTCGGACAGTGTTGATAGGTGGTTTTTGCAGGTTTCCAGCCAGATGATTGGTCAAAGAGTTTTTCAGCTTTAGGACATCCAAAGGACTCCAAATTTACGGCTGGAATACTGAGATTGTTCAGTAAGTGTTTTTCATGTTGTCCGCCTTTGTAGGCAATGGTAGAGTTAGAGTCTACGTAAAAATACTTTATGTAGTTTTCGGGCCAAAGCGTAACGCTTTAAAAACCTTCTTATAAGAAACTTTCTCTTATCAACAGCTGCTTCTAACGCTTCTTCTGGATCAAATTCACAACTGTTGGGGTTATTTTTGTTGCAAAGCCAAAATTTCCCATTTTTTTGTAGAAACCGTGGACGCTGCCAATCCATGCAAACACTCCATTGCTGTGAATTATGGCAATGATACTGTTTGATGCGCGATACTTATGTCCGCATAAAGTCAGCATAAACGCGTTCGGGCAATAGACAGGTTAAGATACCACGGTTCCGGTTTACGCGTACAAGTATCGCCATTTTGTTTACCAATTTTTGCTGATGTCAGCATTTTTACCCGTAATTTCAAGCCGTTTCCCCGCGGTAAACCGTTGTCTACACGTAACGACAAACGGGTACGGGTGTTTTCTGTTTACTATTTGTGGGCCGTTCAAATAGTACAAATTTTCAATATCTTACCCAATTAAATACTGCACATA